AAAAAAACCCCGTGGTTGGGCAAAAAAAAAAAAAAAAGAGAAAAAAAAAAAAAAAAAAAAAAAAAAAAAAAAGCAGGGAGTGGGGGATTGAGGGGAGTGGGATGGGGTGAAATACGGCCTGGAATGAAGTGGGAGAAATGATAACGTCTTGTTGATTGAATTCAGATTTTCGGTGACAGACCGAGGAGGTTTTTTTTTTTTTTTCTGACTGGGGAGATGAGGGAGAAATTGTTCACTGACACATAAAAAGCCAAGTTTCCAACTGCACTCGTTTCGACGCTCCGTGTGTCGGGATGTCTGATGCTGCATTAAAACAAGGAGCCTCGGCGGCGATAGCCCTGTTTTCTGTTGTAAGTGTTGGGTTTGATTAATATTTAGCATAGACGCTGTTATTCTCACTTCTCTCCACTCATGAGTATTTGAATCGTAAATTTCAAAAGAAATATTCACTGGCTTCTCAATTATGAAATTTAGGGAAGTAATTACAATTTCAGTATTTTTATTTGTTTTTATTCAACTGTTACTGATTTTTTTTTTGTTCAAACATCCTATTATTACAACTAAATTGTAAACAGCTTCACAATATAGTTCCTTAATGTGCTCTTTCTTTATTCGGAGGCTGCACTTTGGAGGATTATGATTTTTAGCAAATGTATACAGCAAACTCTGCAACTAATATCTTGTAATATAACTAACTATATGACATTGTCATGCAAACCAGAATCATTCATAGTCTTGGAAAGGCTGGAAATTGCTTTCATTGTTTTCCAGGTCTGATTAAGTATTAAAAAAAAATTGAGCATTGAAAAAATGTTTTACTTCTTGTCTTTCCTCCATCTGCTAAAAAATAAATGTGATCGCCCTTTACATTTTAACCTTTTGATGTAAATTAAACTTTACCTTTGATTTGCTACATCACACCCTGATTTTTTATTTTATCTGATACTTCAGTATTTAGATTTTTGATGTACTGAGTGACTGCGCACTTCCTGGTATACTAAAATAAAACAACTGGACCTAGGTAAAAAAAATATTTTTGAAAATTTTATAAAAGTAGCAAAATTAAGAAACTGCACCTTAAAGACTGCATTTATCTGCTGGAGTGACAGAGTGTGATGAAAACAAAAACAGCAACATGACCCGATACCACACTCTGGAAATTGGAACCTAATTTTCGCATCTTTGCATTTCGTGACTTTTGAACCTGATGTGTTTCAGAGCTGGCTCGCTGTCAACATTTTGTTCTTAAATGTCTGAAATGTTGTAAAAACTCAGAAAGATTATGCAATGAATGGAATGACAAGTAATATTTGACTATTTTTTAAAATAAACATGCAAATCGAGTGTAAAAAGAAATTGCATCAATCTGTAGTCGGCCCCTTTTGTTCTGACAGCCATAAAACCAAGACAACTGTTTTTTTTAGATTATTTGTTAGAAGAAAAGTAAAAGTAA